CTCTGGAATTAGAAAGTTTCCAGCCGTCCACAAACCGGAAGAAAACTTTCTTTTCTCGCGCGTCACACAAGATCCGGCGGCGACAATCTGCATTGTTAACTGGATAATTGGTAACACTTGGCGACACGTGAGGACGCTGTTTCTAGATGCCTTGACTAAATGAGATAAACTTCAAAACGCTGGACTTTTTTTTTTTTCACAATCGTGAATAAAGAAGCATAAAACAATGTCTCGGTACACAATGTCCATTCTGTTTGATTCATCCTCTTTATTTCTGGGCAGCAAGTGCAGATTCACATCAGTTTTAACAAATGGATTAGAAGCAAAATAACTGGCAGCTGAAGTGCACAGACTGAAATGAAAACCATTTGGTAACACTTCATCTGATGGAGTGTGATAAGACTGACATGACACTGTCATAAACAATACCTGTTATGAACATGAAGGACTCTTTATGAATGTTTATGACTGATGTCATTAAGTCTCATTGGGTAAATAATGACACTTTTAATGCAAAGTTGCAGTAAAACTCACATAAAAAGTCCACTAAAACCTTCAACTTTGTATTAAAAGTGTCATTATTTACCCAATAACACTTAATGACAACAGTCATAAACATTCATAAAGACTCCTTTATTTGACCTTTATTTGGTCAAATAAAGGATGACCAAAAGTTTTAATGAAGTCCAAGATGCCCAAGGATGGATTACTTACAAAGGTTTGCTCAAAAATAGCAGCAATATTGTGTCACCAATGGTTTTTAAAATTGCTATTTTGAAATCAAAATTTAACAGATGAAAATGACAAAGAAAAACATCAAAACTTTTAATTACAACTGTAGAAATCGATCAGTTCCAAATCAAAGTGTTATTCTTTCCAAGTTTGTTTTAAAAAATAAAAAATAAAATCAAATTCTAGAACAGATATGAAATTGTTCTCCTTTTGGACTTTTCTGGTTTAGCTGTTCATCAAACCAACATGTTTACGATCAGACAAAGACAAGTTTTCAAATCATGATTTCATTTATTAAAGCAAGAAGAATAAAATAAACTAAAATGAAAATTAAAAACCATCCAAACCAAACTGGCCCTGAAGCCTAACGACTGGGTCTACTGTCCTATTTTGCACTTAAATGTAACAACAGGATTTAAATTTGAAGCCCACAGGAAAACCTCTACTTGGTTTGGTGTGGGGATTTTTGTGCGCGACAGAGACGAAAAAGAAAAGAGAAGCGAAAGGGAGAAAGGCGGGGAAAGGTTTAAAAGGAAAGAAGATAGAAATGGAGAGAAAGAGAGAAAACAAAACCGAGAAACCAACAACAACAGACGGAGCTGAGCCGTTTTGTTATCGGGTCATCTCTCTGATATCTGAACTGAAATGACGTGAATCCTCTGACGTGCCATCATGCTCATGCAAGAGAAACCCAATCCTCAGAAACAATCTGAGGATTTTTTTTTTTTTTTTTAAATTTGCTGTAACTAGATATCAGGTCATTTTACTTAAAGCCAAAGAAGCAAAAGGGTGAAAAACAATAGTTATGCAGTAAATTAGCATTGTCTATTCCTGTTTGGGTTTTTTTGAGAAACATATGGAGAAGGTATTTCCATTTTAGTTTTAGAAAATAAATAAAATCAACAAATAGAAACAAACTGACATTTTGAATTTCTAGGTCTGTGAACAACTCAAAAAATTCTTCAAGATGAAAATCGTTGGTATGGTAATAAACATTTCCTGTCACTTCTTGAATGGCTCTTCCAGCCTTTAAAAGACTTATTCAGAGGCTGTTTTTTTTTTTTGCCTCTGTTAAGATAACTTCACACTGCTTCAGTTATTTTAAAATAAAGTCTTCAGGGGAGAAAATTCATCGTTAATAGTGATCTATTGTGTGAGTTTCATCCCAGTGTGTGCCTTTTCCTCCACTGGGGAAATGTTTTGGATCACTGAGATCCACTGAGAAATGAATTTTCCTACCCAACACTGTACTGGATGATAGAATCATAGAATCATGTCTCAAGATCATTTTCTGTAAGTTGTGGCTTTGCGACCATTTCTCGTTTTTTTTTTTTTTTCAAACTTAAAAAAAAAAAATCCAAATCTTGTTGGACTCTTGCTTTTGAAAGGCTGTAATTTGGGAAACGTGTCCTGGTGACACCCTGAATGTGAATGACAAGCTAACGGAGCTCCATCCACTTCACTTTGCATCTGGACCAGTTGGTAGCTCCACATGTTTAACCTCTAAAAGTCCAAATAAATAAAAGCAAACAGGCTTGCTTTTTTTCTTTTTTCTTTTTTTTTTTTTGTAAACGCTGAATACATTTCAGCTTTTATCAGGGTTGTTTGTCGGGGGGACAGTGGTGTCAATTGTATTTCTGGCACTCAGAACAAACGATGTTTTATACCAAATGAGCAGAACTAAAGATTAAATGTTAGTTGGCCTTAAGCAAACTTTAGTTTGCAGACCACTGGCCAATCGACAGAAAGGCTCCTTTGTGCGCTGGAGGCCGTGACGTCAAAAGGCCTCTATAAAGACATAAATTCATAGTTTAATCCGGAACAACGCCGAGGTGGGAGAACGAGTCTTGATGTCCTCCTCTTGTTTCTTAACGTGCATAGCTAATGAGGCTTCTTCCCAGGATAAATAAAGCAGCTCCAACGTCAGCGGCCGTCAGATTTGGGCCGGCCGGAGCCTGACGGACGTTCAGCGTGACGGGATTAAAACCTTTTTCTGTTCTCTCTGTTCTAATTTGCAATCACAAAATGCTGGAGATGCTTGAATACAGCCACTATCAGGTGAGATAGTCTTCTAGTTCTGCATTTTTTGATGACTAATTTAAATTTTAAGCTGCCTGGAGATGTTTCAGATATAAAAACAATAAAAAATGTTAAAAAAAAATCAGAGTCGTTTAATGCTAACGGAAGTTTACATGAAAGCAGAATGGGGAAGCATTTTGTGGTCATGTGATTTCACCTAAAGGCTGAGCTGTGATGTTTTTGCTGCCTTTCCACTTAAGGTTATGAAAACAGAATGAACATAAATAGAGTCCTGATCGTCTTTAAGGGCAATAAAACATGATATGTCCTCTGGAACGTGGTCAGGAGTTTCCTTTAAATGGATCTAAAAACTAAAACTGGAATGACAGGAATTTTAAAGCTGGAAACTTCTTCTATAAATCCATTCACATTCATAAGATTTGATTAATAAATTGTCTTAATCTGGACAAAAGCTGGAGCATCAAGTAGTAAAATGTTCCGATTTGTTTTTTGTTTGTTTGTTTGTTTGTTTTTCTCACAGGTGCAGTCCCACCTGGAAAGTCCGAACAAGTACCACATTCAGCCGGCTCAGAGGCAGCAGGTGAGGCAGTACCTGTCCTCCAGTCTGGGCGGGAAAGCCGGCAGCCAGCCACCCGAGCACAGCATGCCGCCCGGGGCCACCGGCAGCGCCCCCAACAGTCCTATGGCCCTGCTCACCCTGGGCACCAACTGCGAAAAAGAAGTAGGAGTGTTTCATGGGTCGTATCAGACACCCCGATGCAGTGCGGGAGGTTTTTACCAAGCTGTTCTCTCTCACACAGATGGACGACGTCATTGACGACATCATCAGCCTGGAGTCGAGTTACAACGAGGACGTCCTGGGACTGATGGACCCCGCTCTGCAAATCAACAACCAGGTTATCTGCACCTTGTTTTGCCTTATTGGTTGTTTTTGGTTTTGTTTTTTACGACTGCATGTTGATGCCGTTGTGGATAGAGTACATTTGTGCCAAATCACTCAGACAGTGTTTTAGAAAAAACTTTTTTTTTTTTTTTTGTAAAATTCAAGTCAAACATTTTTTCCCTTTTTAAATTCAAAAATTTTGTAAGTTTTTGTAGAAATTTTCCAAGTTTGAAAAGTCTCACATTTTCCACATGTTCCATTTTTAGGAAATTTTCTGTCAAAAATCTGCTAGACGATCAGAAATTTTGTGATGGATTAATTCATTTTCCATTTTTCTAATTCTTAGTAGTCTAAAATCTTCCACTTTTGAAACTCAAAATCTTCCATTTTTTGGTTGTTGAAAATTTCTGAGATTTTTTGGATGCAAATTTTCTTTTTCTTTTGTTTTCTGTCTCCAATGGCTCTAAAACACCTCCTTAGTTCTTGTTTTTATTTCTTCCCTGAGCAAAACGCTGACTCCTGTTTCCCCCTCCAGCTGCCAGTGTCTGGTAGTTTGCTGGACGTGTACAACAACCCGGGGCTTCCCCTGCCGGGCATCGCCATCGGCAACGCATGCGCACCCAACATCAAAAGGGAATTCACAGGTAAATAAATGAAGATTCAGATACAAACTGTATTCATACCGCACTTTAAGCACAGACTTTGAAAAAAAATAAATACTACTGCAAATACTCCTGATTGTTTTCTCTCACTGTGGGAAGAACAGTTAGAAAACACTATATGAAAATGTTTCTGAACAGGCTCGTGTGAGTATTGTGTGCAATTTGGAAGTGCACAAGATACTATTAAGTCAATGCTTTGCCAAATAATCACTCCAGCTCCCGGCATGAAGCAAGTTCTGGACAAGTCAGGATCCTGTGGCCAGTTTGAAAGCTATCAGAGGTCAGACGGCTTTCCAGTAGGTAAGAAGGAAACGTTTTACCGTCGGACAATGTGTTTTGTGTCCGACTAAACTCCTTTGCATTTAAAGAAGAAAACAAAACAAAAAAACACAGATAAACATGAAGCTAAATTGCTGCTACTTTTACAAGTGTTTCAAATAGTGAGCGAACGAACGAACCCGGTTCAGACCGTTTGTTCTCCCGTTGCTCCACAGAGGCTGAAGTTCGCGCTCTGGCTAAAGAGAGACAAAAGAAGGACAATCACAACCTGAGTGAGTCGGTCGTAATAAAGTGAAAATGAGATTTCTGTGTGTTTATGTTTTTATTCATGTTGAACAGAAAGGAAATATAGTGGAAGAAAAACACTGATTCCTCTTTCTGCTCCTCCGTTTGGATGATTTCTAGTCGAGCGAAGACGGAGGTTCAACATCAACGATCGCATCAAAGAGCTGGGAACCTTAATACCCAAGTCGAATGACCCGTAAGTATCAAACTGCAGCATTTATTCTGGTCATTTTTGTTGAATTGGTGATTTTATGTGACAGGCCACATTAAAAAAAAAACAACAACAAAACAAAAACAAACTTTTAATAAATCGAAACCTGAAAAGTGTGGCATGCACTTTCCCTCTGGTGCCCTTTAATAAAATCCATTGCGACCAGTTCCAGTGGGAATGATCTTGTTGCTTGTCAACGAGAAAAGAACATGTGAAAAAGTTTTAAACAACAACAAAAACATGAGTTTGGTCAAAAAGCTTGTTTATTAGCAGCTGGTTTTCACAAAAGCAGCAAATATGTGGGAGGAGCTTGGCGACCATAACTGAACTTCTTGTTTTCTGTCTGTCCTGGAGGGACAGAGGCTGAAAACATGCAGCCAGTGCTGCAGTGGGACGGTTTGGCTTAAGGGATGTTCATGTTTTGGAGTGAAATTCTGTCAAATTCCAGACCTAAATCCATTTGATCTGTTGGGAAACTCTTCAGATTTTTCTGCACTGACACTTTTCATGCGGTCTGACTACATTTGAGGTTTTTAGAAAGAAGAAAGGGCAAAAACATAAACAATCTGTTGATGAGTAAACTCTAGAAAGAGACGCAGCTGTCATGGCAACCAAAGGAAGTTTAACAAAGGGTCGACTGTGGAGCTGAAAACACATGAAGGCCACACATTTCAGATTGTAATTGTTTCTCTCTCTTTAGGGTTTTTGTTTGTTTGTAAAAAAAACAAAAAAAAAAAAAACAACTTTTTTTTTTATCCTATCTAAATTTTATCCTACTCATCAAAATTCTGGAATATTCTGTGTTGAGCTGTCAGGTAAAATTCATGTGAAAAACAGTTACAGCTTGTGGATGTACTTAAAAAATGGCAACAAATTAAATTAAAAACTTCAAAGATAATGTATAAATCTTTTTGTTACTACAAATTATTAGGTTTAAAAAAACATTTAGAATTATAGAATATTTCATACATGGAAAATATATAAGATAGTAATGTAATACTAATGTATTTTTCATAGTTTTAGTAGGAAACGTTTTTGGATAGAATAAATTATTTAGTTGTTTTATTCTACATGCAAGCCACAGATTTTAGATCAACATTTATTTTTTTATTTATTGTTTTACTTTATATTATTTTTCCCTGCTACTATTTTGTGTCGGGTTATGCTTGTAAAATAGAGTTAAACTTTGTTGCTACTGTTAGAAAAAAAAGTTAAATAAATGTGAATCACTTGGTGAGACATTGGATAAATGACTTGATTATTACAAATTACTGAGATGAAATTTAAAAAATTTGTTTATCAGGAGTAAATTATTTATTCCTCATTTTGACAGATTATTAAGTGGTTGAATTTTTTAAAGTTATTTCTTTCTGAAAATAAAAACATATTTTTTGACAAACCTTTTTTAGAAACGTAGCATCACCTCTCTTCTTTTGAACACGCGTGCCTTGACATTTATCTGCTCCACAGCGCTCTGCCTCTTCCATGTGTTCTCTTAAAAGTGCATGACTTATTGACCCGGATGATCCGTGAAGAATCCTGCGTTGTTCTGGTCAGCTGGACAGCTGGCCCTCACTGCAGATCTCTGTGTTCCCCCAGAGACATGCGCTGGAATAAGGGTACCATTCTGAAGGCCTCCGTGGATTACATCAGGAAGCTGCAGCGGGAGCAGGAGAGGGCCAAGGAGCTGGACTACAAGCAGAGGAAGCTGGAGCACGCCAACCGCCACCTGATGCTGCGCATACAGGTGGGCCGCAGCTGCGTCCGCAACAAGCTGACCACGACTTCACGCTCCATCGAGGGCAGAAAAAGAAAAAACAGCCATTTTGAAAACCGATCATTTTGTGCATAAAAGATCATGATCCCACTGAAGAGCCCACTGCACTGAACCCACTGACAACCTCCTGGTTGTTCCATCAAATATTGATTTCTGAAATCGTCCAGAATTCAAACATTAGTTTTGTTGTTTCTAAATGAATATGAACTTGTTTCCTTTGCATTATTTAAGGTCTGAAAGCAGTGCGTCTTTTCTGTTATTTTGACCATTTCTCATTTTCTGCTAATAAATATTAAACTTTTGCTTGGAATTTCAGAGACATGTTGTCAGTAGTTCATAGAATAAAAGAACGATGTTCACTTTACTCAAACATTTACCTATAAAATGTAAAATCAGAGAAGCTGATCATTTGAAGTGGTCTCTTAATGTTTTTTGAAATAATATGATACATTTAAATACCACTCAGCAGTTCAAAATCCTTTTTTTTTGGCTCAACTCAGCATGCTAATTAAAACTTTTTTTAAAGGGTTAAAAAAAAAGGATTTTTTTTTTTTTCGCTCATCTTCCCTCCAATTTTCTGAGGCCCCACTTTGAGAAACACTGGTGTAGACATGTTGGTAGTGGGAGAGGGCCCAAAATGAAAGTCTGCTTAGGGCCCCAAAAAGGCCTGGGCCGGCCCTGGTTAAACACTGGTGTAGACATGTTGGTAGTGGGAGAGGGCCCAAAATGAAAGCCTGATTAGGGCCCCAAAAAGGCCTGGGCCGGCCCTGGTTATAGACAATGGATGGATGGATGGATGGATGGATGGATGGATGGATGGATGGATGGATGGATGGATGGATGGATGGATGGATGGATGGATGGATGGATGGATTGTCATGTTGTTTGTTGATCTCTTATTTCATGCAGGTGATTAACTCTCTGCTTCGTGTTCGTCCAGGAGCTGGAGATCCAGGCTCGGGCTCACGGCCTGACCGTCGTGTCGTCCCCGTCGCTCTGCACGTCCGAGCTGATGGCGCGGGCCATCAAGCAGGAGCCCGTCCTCGGGGACTGTCCGTCCGAGCTCTACCAGCACAGCTGCACCCCGGACATGTCCCCTCCGACCACGCTGGACCTCAACAACGGCACCATCACCTTCGACCACATGCCCTCTGACGCTGGTGACTCGGCCCACTACGGGAGCTCCAGGACGTGTAAAATGAAGGAGCTGGTCAGGGACAACAGCCTGGGACCGGTTTCCCCCAGCGACCCGCTGCTGTCCTCCATGTCGCCCGACGTTTCCAACCCCGTCAGCGGGCGCCACAGCTCCAGCTCCAGCTCCAGCATGGAGGAGAAAGACCATGGATGTTAGCCCCACGCCACGACCAGCATCTGAACAGGCGAAGGAACTCAGAGATCGTTTTCTTTTCAAAGAAAATTTTTAAAGAAAAAAACAAGTTTTTCAATTATTGCTGTTTAATTATTACTTTGAGCCAAGACTCTTTAGATCTTCTCTCAGTGTTTTTCATGAACTTCTCAGAAATACTTGAGAAACACCTGACATACAAAAACTTGAAAACCTTGAAGTAGCCCGTTTAATATTTGACATGGTTTATTTTACATTTCATCATGAACTGGATCTGCCCCCCAAAAAAGTGCATTATGAAAACGTTATATTGTTGAAATGATAAGGGCAGAAATACGAGTTTGAAACATGTTTAGACTCAACAATCTCCCCATATTTAGGAAACAAATAGCTAATCCAATAATAATAATAATAGTATTTATCTATTGTAAAATTGTATTATTTTTCTTCCAGATATCTCGTTTTGTTTTTGGTCCATCAATATTCATACCATAACAGACCTGATTTGGTTTGATTCAAAGAGTCGAAGCAAATTCTTCCTTCTGCTCATCGTAAAATCTTAAATAAATCTAAACTACAATGATGACTTTTGACATAAAGGTACCGGAAAAACCTTTTTTATTTTTTTCCCAGTAACGTTGACATGTTTGCATCACAGCTGTTACCTACTTCCTGTTTACCCGACCGTTTGGGTCCGGTGTGGCCATGACGCAGCAAACTCTTGACTTTTCACGCCTTTGATCCCAACGTGCGTGCAGCGTCCAGACCAGGAGCTCATCAAAAGTAGCAGGAAAACGTCAAATAAATGACGATGTTCAACCAAATCCTCTTCATTTCTCCACCCTAAAGCCCACCTGACATGTTTGACCCAACCAGCAGCTGGGATGAGAAACTGTGCGACTGAAGGTTAAAAGATTCAAAACGTGTTTTGGCAGACAGTGATGACATAAGCAAAAAAAAAAAAAAAAAAAAAATTTTAAAAGGGTTTTAAAAATGGTTGTTTTTGTATGGG